GAGATTGATTTTTTTCCTTGTGTTTGGGAACAATTTTTCCGGTTTCAAGTTTGATTGACAAAGGAAAGAAGTCTCCGAGACCGCGGACCTTCCTCACTATCGTGGTTATATTTCACTCATTATGTAGTTTATTTACCCAATATTTTAGTTTTTTTGGTTGCAGTTCGACTCATCAACAACAGATGTCTTGCCTGAAGACCGTCAGCAAGGGGGAGTACGTGTGTGTGTGTGTGTGTGAGAGAGACGGTATAGGTGTTTGCGTGTGTTGTGAATCCTATTTTCTTCACCTTATGAGGGTACTCATCATGTTATCTCTCACTGTTGAGCATCGACAGCAAGATCACTGTCGCGGTCAGTCGTTTGAAGAAGAGATGGGCTCTCTACTACTGCTGGAGCTGACGGTGATTTCTTGTCAGAAGAGGTGACTACTTTGTCTGAGGTGAAGCGTCTGCTGCTCAACTTCTTTACCGGTGCCAGTTTGTAAGAGTTCATAGCGTTAAATACGTCCAGACCTCTATAGACTCTGTGTTAAAACCTGCTCTTCATCAGTGCATAACTCCCTTCCTTTATAAAATGAACTGGATCTCTGTGAAATTCAGAGTGGACCTGAAGGTCTGTCCTCTTTATAATTCAAACACACTGCGGCACCGTGCCCTCCAGAAGACACATTTCAAAGTCTGTACTCCTCAAATTATCTCAGACACATTATGTTTATAAAGGCAACGAGAGAGGGGTATCAACATGTTTTTCATTAAAGAACTAAATAAGTCCGTCTGCAAAAGCAGCATTAGTTCATTGCTTAATTGAAACTGACTCAATGGGAGTTGTTAATCTAATTTTTGCATGATTGGATATCTTAATAATTTACTTCATTATAATACCCAAACCCTACATGAAAAGCAGCGCTGCTCAGTTCTTCACTTTGACTGGCGAACCGCAGTTTGAAACTAGTTCCTCACACACTCATACACTTCTTAAAACCGAGAACAAGCGGTCTTTATCCAAATGGTTGTGGGAGTGTGGAACAACGGGCTTGATTAGAAAGCGTTCGGGTGATGCCCTGACATTTTAACAAAACGGCTGGATGAGGTGTTTGGAGAAACTAGCTGCTAACGACTAAGCGGGAAGACTGGCATTTTTATTATTTTATTTTTCTTTTTATTAAGTTAAACATTTAAGAATGTTATGAGACCCATTTTGCAGTCAATTACGGAACGGAAAAATCATATTTGTGTGAGATCTCAAAGAGCAAAGAAGGAATTTTATTTATAATGCAACTGAGGACATAGTTCTCACAATTTTCTGTTCGACGGGACAGTTCCTTGATACAGTTCTTACCTTTTTCTCAGTGGAGGACAGACTCTCCCCCACACCGTCTTCAGCACAGCCTCCCTGAGAGCGGGGCTCCCCCAGATGTACAGTCCCGGGGTACAAGTTGAAGTGAATCTTATCATCATGCTAAAAGGGTCTGTGGCGCAGTTCTCGAACAAGTATCTTGATGCGGTCATCTGAACAACGATAATGTAGTAAAAATCAGGAGTCCAGAGCGCCAGGAAGCAGACTACCACCACGATGATGAGTCTCAGGGACTCTTTCTTGCTGTCTCTCTCTGGACCC